ACCTCAGGTTTCGTGAGTTGTTGTTTCAAGAGGGCTTCTGCTTTACAAGAACATTAAAAAATAAATAACATTATTGGTTTGGTAAAAAAAAGCGATGGGGCCTCTTACCGACCCTGGGCGTCTTACACGGATCTCCCCTAATTACCAGTAAAACGCCTTTTGGGCGAAGGACGAGCGAGCGAGATAGTGAGCCCTGCACGTGCGGAAGGGCGAGAGGGTACTTCCAACGGACATGTGTAAAGCACCCTTCTAACCGGTCGCTAGCGGTGTGCCAAATTTGAACGCAATCGGCCCAGCCGTTCCTGAGATCTGGAAGCGGCATTCTGCACGTGCGCACGTGCAAACGGGGTCCAAACTGACTTTTGCACGGCACCCTCCTAACCGGTCCCCAACCGTGTACCAAATTTGAGCGCAATCGGCCCAGCCGTTCTCGAGATCTGGAAGCGCCCCCTGCACGTGCGCACGTGCAGTAGCACCCTAACTGCAACACATGGGAATGCATTGCCTGGTGGGTGCCTACCTGTATGCCAAGTTTCAGCGAAATCGCCCCAGTAATTACCGAGTTATTGAAATGGGAACAAATTTGACACCTCTTATTGTTGTATTTTGCACGTGCACTGGGGGTCACTCACATAGATCAAGAGTATCCGACCTTTGGTAGAAGGGATGCAGCTACCCTATAAAAATTACCGCAAGACAATCGCTCAAGCCGCTGCTGAGATATGGGCCTGTCAAAATCACTACTTTTGCAAAACTGCTTGAACACCCTTGACTTTTCACGTGGCACGTGCCACGACGGTCACTGAGATGTATCAAAAGTAGTCAATTACGGGGTAGAAGAGATGGGGCTACCCAGCAAAAAAGACCGCAGGGCAATCGGTCCAGCGGTTGCTGAGATATAAGCCTTTCAAAAGCGTTACAGGCCGGGCCGGGCCGGGCCGCTCATACTGAGATTTTTCCCTTATATTGAAAAGACTTCGCTTCGCTCGCTGCGCTCGCTCGCTCGTAATTAGCATGAGGCTTACGGTTTTCATTGCAGTTATATACTTGGGTCATTAGAGTTTTTCATCAATAACTCCCCATCAAATTGAGTTAGCGAATCGGGAAAGCCACCAATAAACTCAGGAAGACCTGCCGATTCGAGTAATATATAACATGACCTCTTCCAACCAGCTTCGTGATCTGGGGGAGCTGACCTGCCCTTGACCCGAGGTCAACACCTCAAGTTGACCTCACCCGAACAAAAAGTATACCATTCGACGCGCCTGAGCGAGGCGAACACGATAATGCCAAAATCGCGGCTCTCCGACCGTTTTTTTTTTGCGAAGTTATGAAAAACTGAACCCTGGCCCCTGGTCACTTGACCTGACCTCATGAGACCTTAAAATCGGGTACCAGTCCCTGCGTCTTGTAACGGCGCACACACTTGTTTTTTTCCGCGACGCTCTAGCTTCATCAGGGGCGAAACGGCGAGGGAAATCGTACCAACCAACCCCCCCCCCCCCCGGCGGGAGCGTATGTAGAAAACCAATAGGTCCGGCAAGGGTTAATGTATCATTGAATGGGAACATGCAACATATGTATATTTGAGCTTGCACCGTGCTCAGAAAGGTTCAGAACAGCCGTTTTCACGACGGTTGACCGAAAGCGCCAAACTTGACCAAATCTCAAGGAACCTACCCTGAAAATTCCATGAACCTGACCCAAATGACCTTAGACCTGTAACCTTTTTTGGGGGGGACCATGTCAGGGCCAGGGGGGCCATAAAACATGCATCGCACAACCCTAGTAAATAGTAAAGTTGGTTCATGTGCTGACCCTTGGTGACCTGACCTGTGACCTGACATGGTATTATCAGTGACCTCTAATAGCAACATATATACTAGGCAACGTACGCCCTATTTTTAACGTACGCGAAAGATTTTATCTTTGACCTGACCTGTGACGTCATCGGTGACCCCGAGGTCAATGAAATTGGAGTTCCGTCGACAAATTTGACAGGGCTATCGAACTTCGTTTGAATGTTACGGATCCGTCCAGTAGTTTCGGAGAAACGGGAGGGGGCAAAAAAATGCCCCCCCCCCCCCACCGCGCGGAAGGTGGCCGGGAGGTCCACCGCCTGCCGGGTTGATGAGAGCCTGAATGAGAGAGAATGTTTTTAGGCGAGCTTTTAAGGAATACAATAAAAACACAAAATGAAATCATGCTACAAATTTCATTGCTTACCTCAGGAATGAAATCAGCCAGGAAAGAACAGCAATATTTTTAACCAGTAAAACGCCTTTTGGGGCGACCAACGGAGCGAGCGAGAGGGTGGGCCTTGGACAAGCGAATTTGCCAGGGACACCTCCAACTAACTTGTGCACTGCACCCTACTAACCGGTCCCTAGCGATGTGCCAAATTTGAGCGAAATCGGCCTAGCCGTTCTCGAGATCTGGAAGCGGCACCCTGCACGTGCACACGTGCAAAATGGGTCACAACTGACTTTTGCACGGCACCCTACTAACTGGTCCCTAACCATGTACCAAATTTCAGCACAATCGGTTCAGCCGTTCTCGAGATCTGGAATCGACCCCTGCACGTGCGCACGTGCAGCAGCACCCCAACTGTGGCACATCGATATGTATTGCCTAGTGGGTGCCTACCTACATACCAACTTTCAGCGCAATCGGCCAAGTAGTTACCAAGATATTGCAACAATTGCAAAACTGACACCTCTTCGTTTTGCACGTGGCACGTGCATAAGCGGTCACCCACATGCATCGAGAATAGTCCAATACTTGGTAGAAGGAATGAAGCTACCCTAGAAAAATCATCGAATGCAAATTGGTCAAGTGGTTGCTGAGATATAAGCCTCGCAAAAGCGTAACCACGGCCGGCCGGCCGCTCATACTCAGAAATTTCCGTTAATCTACGAAAGACTACGCTTGCTTCGCTCGCTCCGTAATAATTTCTTCAGACTAACAATGCCTCAGCCATATTAGCACGCTACTTGCTGAAAATAAGTTGCTTAAAAAGACCCACTGAATCGCCACGATTTTAAGTGCATGTCATCTCTATGTATATAAGATCTCTATGGATAAATTCATCTCAGCTTGCGTTATTTTCTAGCGTCTCGCACGTGCCAACTCCAAAATAATACTTCGGGCCATGAGCCTTTTGAAAAAAATGGACTATAGTTCTTTTAAAATTAACCTAGATGATAGCATTCCGCTGGCTGTACTGTATCCTCTGCTCTGCAACTACGTAGTACGTTACTTATGTAACACCAAGCTGGTCTGCCCGAGTCCATGGCGCAGCGGGGGTGTCTGCAGTGTCCGGTTTTGTTAGTGTCGTCTCGCGCCTGACGCTGCCGTGTACGCCCCAGCAGCATTCTTTGGCAACTGATCCCACACAGTACGCTCTGCCAGCGATTCCGCCAGAAAAACACACCCTCCGGGCCCGGCTGGGCGGCGCCAAATAGCGGTACTTCATGGAGGCTCAACGGCCACAATGGTTCTAATGAAGGTTTTTATTATCACTCGATGCCAATGGAGACGTGCTTGCTGCACTGTTCGACTTGCACGTTTGTAAAAGCATACAATTTACAAGCAAATGTGTGACAATTTTGGCAGTGACAAATAACTTACGGTAAGAGTTACAGCGAGTTCGAAAAAGCGACATGAATAGGGATACGTTTTTAGATAATATAAAACATTAAACAAACAGAAGCACTGGCAGGGGCAGTTATGCATTTTTATTAATATCTTGTGTGCAGCGATAATAATTCGGAGCAGCACCAAGGTTTTGGTGGCACATGGACTGACGGAGGCTGCCAGTGCCAACAGCACTTGGTCCGCGCCGATGGACCGCCGGCAGTCCAGCGAGGACCTAATTGATCACTCCGGCTCTGGTCGGTCGGCTGACGGTCCTGTGGGGACCGATGGGTCCCACTGACCGGTCGGCATTTCGGTGACGGCGGGGTCCGTCAGAGACAATAGTCGGCCGAATATAGACGACCTCCGCGAACCGAGCCGGCGACGGCGGCCGCATTGACGGCTCTTCTGACCGCCGGCCCTGGCCCTCAAAGCCATCAGAGGTCAGAACTCGGAAGAGGCCGCTCACAAATCACGATGTATAGTCTTATGTTGGCCTCTTTGTATGTAGTAAAGTAAGACTTCGAAACACGTGTAAAATCCCAAATCATTCATGTTGGTTACTTTCTCTGGGTGTCGCTCAGTAGCCGCCTGTAAAGACGTTCATTTATACACGGGTGAAACAACACCAATGGAAAGTTCCATGTCGGTCGGTGGCATGCAAGTAAGTGCCGCAGTGTTTTGTTTTACTGTGCCGCCTGGCTCGGAAATGCCTTCTGGGTACGGCCGCCAACCACGCCGCCGCCGCCGCCGGCGCCGGCGCCGCCATCGGGGCTGTCGGCTTCGTCCAACTCCTGGAAACTGACGTCACTCTGGGCGGCGCCCAGCCACCCGTTGGCTGCTGTTGGGGTGCTTCCGATACTGCCAAAGACGCCAACCGGGCCAAACAGAATAACACAGCGGGCCGCCAGCCAGACATCGATAAATGTCGCACCGCATTGTTTGATCGTAAAACATGCCAACTTGAATAATAGCAGGTTATGCATGCCAGGGTTCTTGAACTGTTACGCCAACGGCCAGACACTGACCCCAGACGCTGCGCAATTATTGCATCGCATAACTAACATGAAAAGAATTTCTCACATATTGATGCAGACGGTAATGTTTTATTTATGTTTTAGTTACAGACCGACAGAAAGTCGCCAGGCTTTTGCTAGGTTCTCAGTTTGAAGTTCAACGATGTTATACCACAAGTCTGATGTGATTTCCTTGATGACCTACAAAGCTGCGACCGACAGATTATTGGCAGTCCAATCCCGGCACACGGGTCTGTGTGAGGGAACCTTGACCTGAAACCTTTGCCAGCCGGTCCGTTGACCTCTGACGAGCTCCCCAGCGCACTGACCTGTTGACCCGTGTTGCAGCGTGTCGTCGGTTCGACGCCAAGAACTGCACGCTGCTGAACGGACTGCTGAACGCCACGGGCGCCTGCATCTTCCGCGATCAGGTGGACAACACCACGTGGGCGGCGCTGAACGCCACCGCCTCCAGCCGACGCATGCCCGCCGACGAGTTCTTCCAGTGAGTAATGCACGAGAGATAAGAGTGATGTAATAAATATAAGGGATATAAGAGATGTGTCATGGGAGGTGATGGGTGAGAGGAAAGATGGACCTCCCGCTCCCGCATTTCACTTGCATTCATTAAATGCGTGACATTTGTTCGTATGTTCACACGATAAGAAGGAAGTCGATGTGAAAAGTGTCTACAAAATTTCGGCTGACGGGTTTGGTATAAGTTAGCTGCACAGCTTCCATTGTCGCTGCTAGACGCGGTGAGCCTTTCTCTCTGGTGTAATTCCTATGCACAATGCAGCGTCTCATCTGCTGGCTGTCGTCCGCCGCCGACCGCCGCTGTACCAATCTCCATCCAGCCGGGAGATGGCGTCCATCCTGGTCCCACCGGGCCTCCTGAGGAAGCGGGGGAAATGTCCCGCCGCCATGCGACCGGCTCTCTCAGAGAGGCGGTGGGCGGCGCCGGTCTGCTGCGCTGCTGGGCGGTATTGAACGGCGGAGCGCCCAGCGCAGCAATAACTCTGGCACATGGACGGTGCGCCGCGTGAGCCGTCAGCGCTATGGCGTGGTGCTGGGACGGAGCTGTGGGCGGCGGTGTGAGATCGATGGGTGGTGACGGAGAGCCCCGGGCGCCGTCAGACGTCCTGCTGAACGGGTGATTGGTGTGTAGGTGACGCCGGAGCTGCTGCTGTGATAGGTTGGGGCCTGCGACTGAGGTCGTGCTATCCGGCGGTGACTCTCTGCCGTCGCGTGTGATCCGTACTGTGTCAGGCCCAGTCACGGATAGGTCTCCGGCGGCTGGCGCCGCCCGGCCCGGTCCCGGGCTTGACAGACGGTCCTGAGCCAACTCCGGGAGACATGTGGGGTCATTGAGGGGCGCCGCCACTCGGCTGCTAGAAGCTACGGTGGGAAAAGAGGCAACTGAATTGGAATAGTGATGTGATTCTAATTCATAAATCAAATGTTGAACTAGAGGAACAAAAGATGCAAGCTCTGATGCTTATCATAGTGATAAATATTTGACTTTAAGCATTCGGTAATGGAAAAGTCTTTTATCAAGCCGCCATGATCTAGACTGTTAGCTGGTCTTTAAATGTTTTGGGTTAATTTTCATTACGGAGCGAGCGAAGCGAGCGGAGTCTTTCCTTAGATTAACGGAAATTTCTGAATATGAGCGGCCGGCCGGCCGTGCGGACGCTTTTGCGAGGCTTATATCTCAGCAACCACTTGACCGATTTACACGCGGTAATTTTTGTAGGGTAGCTTCATTCCTTCTACCAAGTATTGGACTATTCCCGATGCATGTGGGTGACCCCTTATGCACGTGCCACGTGCAAAACGAAGAGGTGTCAGTTTTGTAATTGTTGCAATATCTCGGTAATTACTTGGCCGATTGCGCTGAAATTTGGCATGTAGGTAGGCACCCACTAGGCACTGCATATCCATGTGCCAGAGTTGGGGTGCTGCTGCACGTGCGCACGTGCAGGGGTCGTTTCCAGATCTCGAGAACGGCTGGACCGATGGCGCTCAAATTTGGTACACGGCTAGGGACCAGTTCGTAGGGTGCCGTGCACAAGTCAGTTGGGACCCATTTTGCACGTGCGCACGTGCAGGGTGCCGCTCCCAGATCTCGAGAACGGCTGGGCCGATTGTGCTCAAATTTGGCACATCGCTAGAAACCGGTCAGTAGGGTGCCGTGCACAAGTCAGTTGGAGGTAGCCCCTCGAAATTTCGCACGTGCAAGACTCACCCCCTCGCTCGCTCCGTTAGTCGCCCCAAAAGGCGCTATACTGGTAAATATCAGTCGTGCCGGAATCAAAGAGGTTTCTTCTATCAGTCACCTCATAACTCCATAAATCATAGCAACACAGGATACTGCACGAAACCTCATATGCATTTTTCAGAGGAGTTTTGTCATTGTCACTCACATTTCACCTCTGTGGCACGACAGCCTACATTTTTTAGGCCGTTCTGTCTCGCTGAGGCGTTCCTGCTCCTGAAGTCGCGAGCTTAATGTCCTCACAAGCTAACACATTTTTGAACGTCGGCCTGGGGTCTTTTTGTTCAGTTACGTGGGCTGATTAGTGATTAAAGTGTGTTTCCTTGTAATGTGCATTGTGCAATGTGTCGCTTCATCGGGCCTTGACCGAAGGTCGTTGTTCTTCTGCCGAGACTCTGACGAACGGCTACCTGCCCGCAAACGCCTTTCCGTGACGACTAAGTGATTGCTATTGATCAGTGGACACCCTATGGCGATCGACGCAAGCCTTTCACAGATAAACCATTCTCGTGTACCACTATCGCCCTCAGTCCTTTCCGAGGTCGGGCTGCATTGCTAACACTCGGCCGGTATGGTATGTATGTGTAGCAGGCGTTCTGAGAATGCCCCGCACATTTCCGAGTCCTGTGTCGGGGCGGACTGGCCATCAATTACCGCGTGTCCAAGACCCTATATACCGCGTGTCTTCGTGCCGTGGGCGGTCCCGTGTGCGTGCCATAGTCCGTTCGTTACGTCAGGGCTGCAGCTAGCGGCCATTACCACATCCATTCCCCGCTAACGGACGGCACATGAGGCGTATGTACTGTGTGTCAGGAATGTACTGTGCCGCTGGAAGGTGCGTGCTACTGCTGGGCCCTCAGCTCCCTGACTCCTTTAGCCAGCAACGAGCGAGCCTAGGGGTGACGGTGTCATTAGTAAAGTACTCCTGGATGACACCCTGTCTGACTCCGTGCCGCCGCCGTCTGCCGCAGTAACTTCATGCTGGACATCACCGAGGGCATCCACGACACGGGGGAGATGAAGTGGAAGCTGGTGCTCTGTCTGATGGCCGCCTGGGTCCTCGTCTTCCTGGCGCTGCTCAAAGGAGTCCAGAGCTTCGGAAAGGTGGGTGAGACCTCCGCACTGGCTGGTGCGGCGCGGCGATGGTGTATCGATTCGTGAAAACCTTTCATCGGAGAGGCTTTCAATAATACCGGCGAGCCGTGTTCAATTGAGATAATAAGCATAGTTCATCTAAGTGTTTGCATTTGGCTATTTTTGGACAGACCGTTGTCCGACTTCTAGCACTTGTAGAAATGAAGAACAGGCGCGGTATTTAATTCAGTAAATCAATGTATCAGACAAGACGTATCGTGCATTTTTTTTCGAACATTTGATTGAGTCCTAGCATTCCTTTCAGTACGCCACCGTCTTTTGCGAAACGTTCCTATTGAATTCTCTGACGTTCTGGTGGCGCCATCGCTGTCATAACATCCCGTTATCATGTATTAAATAGCGTTGTAATTGTACGGGGCGGTGCTCGTGCCTTGGCTCTGGGGAGGCCGGAAGGGGGAGGACTGTCGGTCGGCTCCTCCGCGCCGCCAGCTTCCTGACATATCACACTCGCCGTGTCACGCGAGACGACCCAGCCGACACCGGACGGCCGGGCGCATCACTGCGCGACCGCCCCGGGCGGCACAACGTTGACCCCCCCCCCCCGACCGGGGGAGGGGGGGGGGGGGCTCGGCAGGGCGGCTCCGGTGGCAGAGCGGAAACGTGTGCCGGTTGTTGAGCTATTGTCATCGGGAGTGTTGGCTGTTATGTTGACGTTGGGCTTGGATGAGCTTGAGTAATTATTCCGTAGAGGTTGCATTGGATTCCGGGATCAAAAAGTAGTTGTCTGGCCTTGTTTTATGGTAAATTATCGCTACTTATCAGGCTCAACCAAGTTACTTACGATGCCTGCAGTCTCGGCCTGATGAATATGTTTCTGGTTCGAGCAGCTCTGATTTTCTGACATCTTTGTCCCTCCGTCAGGCGGTGTACTTTACGGCCACGTTCCCGTACCTGATCCTGGTGTGTCTGCTGGTTCGTGCCGCCACACTGCCCGGCTACATGGACGGCATATCGTTCTACCTGACGCCGCGCTGGGACAAACTGGCCAACGCCAAGGTACAGAAGTCGCGTCTGTTAGGCGGCCGCCACCGACAGACAATTTGTATGTTATTTGCCAATTTTTTGGGGGGGGGGGGGTGATAACTGCTTGCATAGTTATTAGTTAAAGGAAGGGTGCCACCTTTTGGACACAACGCAGTTTTTACAAGATTAGCCTCACATGAACCTAAAAACCGGCTTCACTTACCTATGCTCGAGACGGTCAGCATTGAATCCGCACGTGAAGTTATCATTTGCGAGTTTTGCTGCCAGCATTCGGGCAGGCAAAAATCTTCAGCACTATTTCCTCGTCGTGTTAAGGGTATTTTATAAAACATGAAATCAGCAAAGGTATGTATAAAAGTTATACTTTTGAAGCATGTTTTATCATTTTGAAAGGGTATATTTTTTCTTTATGGTATACACTTAAGTTTTAAAATTTTAATTGGGAAGTTTTTCTAGTAAGTTGCATGAAGGGTGAAGGGTTCCATAGATCTCTTAAGCATTGTAAAGGAAAAACCTTTACTCGACTTATTTGATGTTCTTTAACTGTTGGCAAATATGGCCAACAGTTACCTACTTGGTTACCTACAACTTAGTTCAAATCATGTTATCTTCTTCCTTTTTATTTGTTCATCTTTTTGTCTCAGTTGCGCCATCAATGCAAATGGCAGAATGATATGTTGCCATGACAACAGGATATGCCAGCCGTCCTAGCTGCCACATCAAACGACCTTGAGTTGTAGTGGTGATATAAACAACGATCTTTTTTTTGGCCAATGTATTAAATGCAATGTTTCGGTTTTTTGTATATTGTGGACGCGCTAACCACGTCTAAAAATTCAAATAAGTAAAATAGATTCATAGAACAAAAATTTCGGAAGGTGGCACCCTTCCTTTAAGTGACCCTTTTTTAGATTTTGTTATCTATTCAATACCTATCGAGTGTTGATTTCTTTTGCTGAATACACTCGGTGTTGTTTGTCTGGCAGGTTTGGGCGGACGCAGCCGTGCAGATTTTCTTCTCGCTCTCGCCGTGCTGGGGAGGTCTGATCACACTGGCCTCCTACAACAACTTCCACAACAACCACTTCAGGTGAGTGGCAAGCTCCGCCGCCTGCGTCGGGTCGGGTGATGTTCGGTTGTGAACGAGCCTGTTTGGTCCAGTAGTATGCGACATCAGACCGCTCATGTGTGTATAATAAGTATATTTATGCACGTATGAAGTTAAACTGAACCATCAACCGTGCATGTTCTTGTTCATGTTTGAGCAAAGCAGACATGCACTAAGTTTCAATTCATTTTACGAAACGTATTTGCAGTGAAGCGCAATGCCTGCATCACTCTGTTACGAAATTTAAAGATTTTGTCGCAATCTGCGAACCTGGTAGCACTGATAATATTTAGAAACGAGGCTACGCTATAAGCTATATAAGTGCGCCGTCCCGTCAGCCAGCAACGTTCCATTAGACGCTGACTGACGTGAAATGAAGCGCCACAACGTAATAAGGCCGCCGGCGGCGGGGCTATTGGGGCCCATGGCGACGTTCCGAGGCGCGCTGACTGCGGCGGGCGGTCGATACGGTCACCGGTTCACTGCTGTGGACCGCGCCGCGAGCCGGGCTGGCGCAGCGGCCGCACCGTGGGGACTTATGCCATCCTAGCACGCATTAAGTGGCAAGTTAAAGTATTTCGATTTCCACTTTTTTGTTATTCATTCCACGTAGAATTGTCCAGCGCATCCGAATCACACCTTAAATTGTCTGTAAAATGATTGTGTATGCCTCAAAAAACCTCTCAAAGTGTAGCTTCGTCCTGACCAGCGTCGTGCTACCTGCATACAGCGAAAAAGCACACTACAATAAAACGCCCTCTCACTCGTTTCCCTGAACAGCAGGGTTATAGTTGCGACATGTTTTCATTATCTTTGACTTATAAGGAAGATGATGGTATGCACGAAAATTTCCAAAATTCATCCAAATGTATAATTTTTGACCGAAATGCTAAAAATGTTAAAATGCTTCTTGATTCAGAGAGTTGACAAGCAAACTATTGCCTTACAAAGTTTGATACGCGTTGTTACGCGTGGAAATGTATATCAAAATGTTCTCCAATAATTTCTGCATCGGGGGCAGCTCTCATTTTTTGCCGAAATTTGCCTAAACCAGTCACTATGAGACGTCAAAGCAGACGGTGCCGCGTGGTTTCTTACGCCCCGCCGGGCCGCGCCGCGGCGGGTTACCCGACCGCAGCACACCGCCTGGGGGTTTCCGGTCAGTATAGGAGTTAGGAGGAGGGAGGAAGGGGGTGATACCATTTGACATTATTTTTCTATCGCCAAATGTTCTTTTTGAACAAAACAACAACACCCTTGCAACGCTGCGTCCATTTTATTGGCTATCGCCGCCAATGTTCACCTTATTGGACTTACCTACTGGTGTTCCTAATGACTTTCCTACCGGGTGTTCAAATTACCTACCTAGGACTTACCTAGGTACAGTACAGAACTTTGATATATGTAAATCGAAAAATGCTGTAACTTTGTAAAGTGAGGTTGGAGGTTTTTGGGGTGCTAATCACGAATTTCAAGCTAGTTTTGATCAAGGATGATGTTTTCATGCTAGGCCGGGTCAGGTCAGGCCCGACCAGTAGGTGTCTTGCCGGCTATCCATAGAAGGTAGGCGTCGATTACCTTTGACGGCTTCGTAGCATGTTCCGTTGGGCACCAAAACTACTTAAATCTTCAAATGGGTGTTAAGTTCGAAATAAGCTCCAAGCACTTATCTAGAAAAATCGTATAACTTGAAAAAGTCAACTAAGGTCATCTAAGGTAAATGACCTTGATTTCACCGTAACGTGACCTTAAAATGCAAAGAACAAACAGCATTTCATACCTTGGAGAGTTAACAATCACAACAAGACTGAAAACGCGCCGATAATGTGCGCTGATAAGCGCCAAATCGATACCAGCCTGACATGGTCTGGTGAAACAGGTCACAGGTCAAATTTTTATTAAGGTCAAGGTCATGAAATTTTAAGTGTGTGAGTAACATTGATCGAATCGAAGGTATAGAAAGTTTTGTCGTGATCCGCCACGTTTTGCTTGAGTTATTATGCGAAAAGTCGAGGACAGAAGTCTGTGCGACCCCCTCCCCCTTTAAGTGCAAGTACTAACAAAGTGCAAAGGTTAAGCCCGAAATGCCTTTTGGTGATTGGGCTAGACATGAACAAATATCTACTTCTAAAACGATTGTAGTTTCGTTCTACTTTTTTAACGCTTCCACGCCCACGATGCATTGCTAGCCGAAAACGCTTCAGTGCTAAGTCCGTGGGGAGGGGGCGGGGGAGGGATGGGGTCAAGCAGGAGAGCCAACCATGTTGTCAGGGATCATACACCCTAAGCCTAACCATTTGAAGGTGAAATAAAATTAGTTAAGGTAGCGGAGGATGCGATATAAATAAATTCGTGCTAGGATCGATAAAAACCCCACAGTGGGCCGGCGCGGCGGCTGGGTGCGCTGAACACGAGCAATGCATGCCTGAGCTATGCAGGTCGCGTGTATTTTGTAGAATTTAGATCTGTCAGTTACATATTCGTACTGCATTGTTGACTTGGCCATCATATAGTTTCAATTTTATTCGTATTTCTGGGGCTCGGGCGGTCAGTGCCCGGCTGAGGCCGCCTGCCGTGACACGCCGACAATCCCAGCTGACACGAATATATCCGTCACGACATGATCTCCCTGACAGTCTCTCTGTAATAGCATTATCCGGCACGGCACGAGTCGTGGTCTCTGTGAGCCCACCGTCGACAGTCGGTGGCTCATTTTCTATATCGGCGACTGTTTTGTAAGCTTGAGTGTAACGAACAAATATTTTGACGTCACAAATCCTGCATGATTGGCTAATTTCTGATAAAAAGACGGTGAATGTTAGTATGACGCAATAAATCCTTTTTCTCAGAGATGCTATTTTCGTGGCCTGTGGCAACTGCTTCACCAGCTTCTTCGCCGGGTTCGTCATCTTCGGCATCGTCGGCTTCATGGCGCACGAGCTGGGCGTCAAAGTCGAGGACGTGGCCGCACAGGGTTAGTAGCACAACAACTTTTAGAGGGGCATTATCCCCGACCTTCGGCGATGATTTCGTCACTCCTTGACCAGGCGTTCGTTTATGTTTGATCCTTTCCATTTTGTCATGTTGCTCATTGGCTGGTCGTCCTTTTTAGCGTTGTATTCGTTGCAATAAGTGCATCAAGTTTGTGGTAAATTCGAGTTGCAATAAGTGCATCAAGTTTGTGGTAAATTCGAGATCGACATACACTAGCAAGCCGCCTGAGCAGTGCTCGACAAGCAACTGGCATGTGGTCGTAAATACTGGTCAATTGATTGATGAACACGATACGATGCATCCAAAAAAGACGCATTCGCTGAGCATCGTAATCCTGGGATTAGCTTTCCTCCCCGGTGATATAATTGGCCGCTGCCCATCCCTGACAGCGCTGTGCCGTACTCTCGCGGCAGCGGGGAGCGCTGACATATCCCTCCGTCCGTGCGCCTGCAGTGGTCTGTATCCGGCACCGATACCTGTCTGATTACACCGCCGGCGGCGGCGGCTAATGGCCAACTGTCGGCCGGGAGTGTGCCGCCGCCGGCCGCCGGTCTCCCGGTGTCCGATCAATAGGCGCCGCAGCCGCGCCGGCCGGCGAGCGAGGCGGGCAGGGAGCGCAGCAGCGCGGCGAGCTGAAAATTGGCCGGTGCGAGCCGTGAAGAGTCACTCTTCAGTTACTCTTGACTTATGTAGTCGATGATTGAATGAAGTGGACGGTATTGCGTTGCTCATTTTGATTAAACCTTTTCGTAATGTTTCGTGCTGACTTCTGAGATATCATACCCGTACCTCAACCACCCGAAATTCTTAAAGCGAATTCAGTGCCGCACTGCTTTCTCGTCTTTCGCTGACGCCAATAAACCAGCTACGCGCTCACACGACTCCATGTAATAGGCCAGGCACGCGCACATACGGTCCCACGCAGCCATCGGCCACGTGTGGGTGAGAGCCGCGCAGGGTCACTCGGTCTGAGTGACCCAGGCTCTCGGTCAGAGTTTCGGTGCCGTGATTTCACCGTCAGGCCGGCTAGCTGCGGCCATCAGGTACCGAGCCGGCGGCTGTCAGGAGGAATCTGATCGGTGTTCGTTGTCGGATTACGGGCTGTCGCCGTATTTCAGATCCGTCCCATAAAAGTTTAAATTGAACGGAAGCCCTTTCATAGGTTGATGCAAGCTTTTGGAAATGTTCGTTCTCGTAGGACGAGCATTGATCATTTCTCGGGTTTGATCGTTTTATGCTATTTAGGACTACAGTTTGTCATCCGTTCGTCCTCTTTATAGGAAAATATTCCTGCTCCCGTTTTGTCTACCCCTGTTTAACCTCTGTGACCTCTGTGAACCTGTATGTGTTAACTGACCTGTGTTCCCCCTGTGTCCTCTGTCAGGTCCCGGTCTGGCGTTTATCGCCTACCCGGAGGCGGTGTCTCGGCTGCCCATCTCGCCGCTCTGGTCCATCCTCTTCTTCTTCATGCTGCTGACGCTGGGCATGGGAACTCAGTTCACCATCCTGGAGACGATCGTCACCACCGTCACCGACCTGAACCCGCACCGGCTGCGGAAACACCACACGTGAGTGAACCCTGAACCCGCCACCGTCACTGACCTGAACCCGCACCGGCTGCGAAAACACCACACGTGAGTGAACCCTGAACCCGCCACCGTCACCGACCTGAACCCGCACCGGCTGCGAAAACACCACACGTGAGTGAACCCTGAACCCGCCACCGTCACCGACCTGAACCCGCACCGGCTGCGAAAACACCACACGTGAGTGAACCCTGAACCCGCCACCGTCACCGACCTGAACCCGCACCGGCTGCGAAAACACCACACGTGAGTGAACCCTGAACCCGCCACCGTCACCGACCTGAACCCGCACCGGCTGCGCAAACACCATACGTGAGTGGTGAACGCCCCAGGTGTTCGCGAACGCCACGCGTGAGTGGGCGCAGACTCAGCATCGTGATTAAAAAAGTCACTTATTGCTCACGGTGCTAAGCATCTACAGAGCTTTTTGTGAAACCGGAAAGTTTTTCTTTCTGATTATGCTTAGTGCATTCTTCATATCTCCCAATGATCTCCGATCCCTTGCCCCTTGCCACAATGCTCTTATCGGTAGTGCGTGTTGCGGCGCCGTGTCCAGCTGTAGTCCGACGCTGACCGTCGGGCTGTTTCCGGCAGGCTGGTGCTGCTCGGCTGCTGCGCCTTCATGTTTATCTGCGGTCTGCCCATGTGCGGCAGCGGAGGACTCTACGTACTGACGGTAAGACGGCAGAAGTGAAGACCATGGGCAATGGAGTGACGGGCCTGGGATGGAAGACCAAGGGATGGGGACGTGGGGTGTGCGGCAGCGGAGGACTCTACGTGCTGACGGTGAGACGACAATAGGTGACAGACGTGGGATGGCAGACGGGGACGGGGGTGCCGGTTCAGGGGCGAAGAGCCGGGGCCAGACCAGGGTGAGGTCCATGTGATTGATAATGGTTGAGGCCCACAGCACGAGTGACCCTGGACGGTGGTACCGGTCTAGCAAAGGGCCACTCGGTCCGAACCTCGCCCTTCAAGCGGTCCCTGGCCGTAGCCGGAACCAGAGTTATTGGCCAGACTGGGTGGACGGGTGGCGGGATCAATAGCCACCGATCCAAATGAAACGGCCGCCAGCCAATAAGTGCAGCCCTCAGCCGGCCGTCGATGGTTTGATTTGAAGCGTCGATAATTTGTCGATGATTTGATCGACGAGAGGCGAGCGAGTGGTATCGTACGGATGAGGGGTCTGACATTTGGGTTTGCAATAACAGCCATCAAGTGGTTCAAACGTTCAAATCAAAAGATCAAAGTGATCAAACCAAACGTCTATCTTGAATTGGATATCACTGAACTTCTACTCCGCAGGAATCTTGCTACACGTGATGCAGCTCTTTGAATGTGCTAAGACAGCAACCGTTTCATTCATGTAATACGGCAGCACCAACGCTTAGAACTACCTGATCGAGCTATCGTCGTTTTCCCCCAGCTGATGGACAACTACGCGGGCACCTTCTCGGCGCTGATCGTGGGCATGACGGAGATCCTGGTGGTGGCGTACGTGTACGGCGTGGAGCGTTTCTTGGACGATATCAAAGTCATGCTGGGCTTCTACCCGTTCCACTACGTGTGGTGGAAGTGGTCCTGGAGGGTCATCACGCCGGCTCTGGTCACGGTGAGAGCCGGAGGATGGCACGGTGTGACTGTGAAAAGGGGATGTACATATATATGAAGAGGGAAAGTGGGAGGGCTATAATGGTAGGAGGGCGGCAGGGACGCAGGGATTTAGATGTTGAGAACGATGAACGGAAGAACGTAACTGACGGACAATGATGGACGTCTGCGTGTGTTTCTGCCTTCGAGGCAGGCCGGGTAGTCGGCACCTGTGACAGGTTTATTCGTGTGTCGAGGGGTTACCGTCTCCAGATGTCCGTATGTTCAGCTGCCCTCCCTGTGGGCCGTCTGACCTGACCGTGTGGTGCCTGCCTGCCTGGCAGGGTATTCTGGTGTTCACCTGGATCGACTACACGCCTCTGAAGTACGGCGACTACGACTTCCCGCTGTGGGCCAACCTGCTCGGCTGGCTCATCTCCTTCACCTCCGTGGCCATGATCCCGCTGCTGGCCGTCATCAAGGTGTACAGGATGGACGGCGACCTCACCGTCAGGGAGGTGGGTGTCGCGATTCTCCGACCGGGCGGACGGAAGGCCTCGGGCGGCCGTCAGGCTCACCGTCTAGGTGGCGCCACACTGTACCAGGGCGTATGTGTTGCGCAGTCATCCAGTCTCGGGCCCACTTGCGGAGCGATGTGCCCGAGCTCGTGGTGCGTTTGTACTTTTTAGGGTTCTGAATCAGAGTCTGAAAGTTAATTATATATTCCCGCGTGAAAGCGGTAATAACTGCGCACTGCGGTTGTCAAAGCCGTGTGAATAGGCAGGCTTGTGTGCAGGGCTGCGGAGTCGGAGTCGGAGTCGGAGTCGGTCGGAGTCGACAGTTGTGACCGGAGTTGGAGTCGGAGTCGGAGTCGATTTTAGAAACCCGAGCCGGAGTCGGAGTCGGAGTCACCGAAAATCTGTCGACTCCGCAGCCCTGCTAGGTCTGCGGAGTCGGAGTCGGGAGTTGGAGTCGGTCGGAGTCGACAATTCTGCCCGGAGTCGGAGTCGGAGTCGGAGCTGGTTTTTCAAAGCCGGAGTCGGAGTCGGAGTCACCGAAAATCCATCGACTCCGCAGCCCTGCTTGTGTGAGCCGTGTACGACTTCGGAGGCGCTCTATGCCAGGTTAAAGGCTCATGACACAACACTGTTTGCGCTATTGATGCAGTGGCTGTGCTCTGTAGTGTTGCTGACTGCCCTTGACGTTTAAACGGTCATTCAGCACAAAAAAAAATCCGATCGTCACCGCACTGATGTCGCTGTGCCGTGAGGGCAGGGCTGCGGAGTTGATGGATTTTCGGCGACTCCGACTCCGACTCCGGCTCGCGTTTCCAAAATCGGATCCGACTCCGACTCCGACTTCGGTCACAACTGTCGACTCCGACAGACTCCGACTCCGACTCCGCAGTCCTGCGTTAGGGCGTGGTTTGTGACGTGTTTTTTTTATTTATTTTGAACGGTATGTTCCGCAGCGGATACGGATCCTGTGTCAGCCGGACGCCACCTGGGGCCCGGCGCTCGACACCCATCGGATGGAGGCCAAACTGTCCAAACGGGCCACCAAACACCGCAACAGACGCGTCAACGGTACGTGATCTCCACCACCGGATCATGCAGAGGAGGCGTGCACCTTTACCAGTGGACGACGGGGAGAGGGATTCCTTACCTCAGATCTTAGTGTGCGCGCAGTTGTGATTCGTTATTTATAATTGTACCGAGTGGCTTATTGAGTAAGCCATCATTACTCATTTGTTTCAACGTCTGGAGGAGTTTGTTAGTGTGAAGTATCTTTCAGTTTGTACGTCACTTGCTCCCAGTGCCTGATGTGTTTCTGTCGTGTTGCCGCAGACGAGGACGATCCGACGGAGCAGGAGGGTCTGCAGATGACCCTGCCGTCGATCCGGGAGGACCGTGAGGACAAATAGGTGAGACGGGCACAGAGACCATGGGGGGGGGAGGGTTTGCAGCGTGACCGGGAGGAGCGAGAGGACCAATAGGTGAGAGGGACACAGACACACCGCCGCTTAGTAATCAAGAGTGTTTATCAACGAATGTAAATTGTGCTTGTTAGTATTTATGTATCGTTATCCTGGTATAAATAAGTATCGAACGCGTATTTGCGTAATATGGAGAGTGATCAAGATCAAAATGATATATTTTGTTTTATCGACATCCTTTAAAAGCTTTATATCCAGCCAGCTCAGATCAGTGTCATCCGGGGAGTTATCGTTTGGAAGCAGATGGCCGTCGTTTCCGCTGCAGCATTTCACCAGCATTGTCGCTGACAGGCCTCTGTCCCGGCAGGACGAGGCTCGGTCGCGGGCCGGACCGGCCGGACCCGTCAGATAGCCCCGGCCGCCGGACTCGGCAGTCGCCGGTCCGCCGCTCCTCGGACCGCAGTGCTGAGCCGCGCCCGTCACATGCAGAAGAGACAGTGAGCCGTACCAGCTAGGGTAGGTGCCCGGTTAGAGCGGCGGAGAGCAGCCTGCAACTGCTGCCGGGAAACGGACCGTCGTCGGTACCGGGCCGGCCTCAGTCGACCGCCGACAGCGCTGCCTGTGAAAAACCAAAGCGTTTGTGTTTCGTTTTCGCCGTAGTGTGCTGGGCGACTCGGTGTGTCTACAACTGTGGAGCTGTCTGAGGCGGCTGGCTCTCTGTGATGCGAGCTGCAGGGAATTACTGGAGGCCTTCTTTTCGCCAGGGCAGAGCGGAACACTATTTTCTCACGGGCTGCATGAGATTAGAGTGGCAGAGTTACTGCAATCCTTCTGAGCTCGAATCAGCCCTCTGAGCTGTGGCTTGTCGTAGCCCTTTGTGAGATATAGCTACCCAGCCCCTGTGAGCTGGTGACTCGTCCCAGCCCTTTGTGAGCTGTGGCTCGTCCCAGCCCTCTGGAGGCCGTGGATCGTTACAACTCCCACTGGAGGCTGACGACGCCGCAGGCTCTCTGCAAACGGATGAGCGCAGCTGCTGCGACCGCTCGTGGCTGACGGTCTCCTCAGTCACCCGCGGTGTGCCGTGGTATGCCACCGAGCGACTGCTTTGGGTACCGACGCTCCACGGAGGGGCTGAGGTTTTGTTCAGTGGTGTGCCAACATCCGGTCCGTAAGAAGTACCGCAGGGAGCGGAGGCGACAACTATAACCCCGCTCAAAGTGGCGACTCCTGGCGGTTTCGACGCGGAGAGAGCTGACTCGGTTTTTCGCCGAATGGGCGGTGTTGTTGGTGCGTGCTGCTTGTTGCTGCATTTTGTCACGTAGGACCGGAGCTGTGCTACCTACTCATCGCGACCCGCGGGCTTCACTTGTACTTTTAGTCAGCTAAATGTCATAGAGATGTTGATCTAGTCGGCACTGGGGAGAAAACAAGCACAGGGGATATTGCATTACCGTGCCTCGGAAATGGCGAGCTTCAAACACAATGCAGGTTTAATTAACTGCGATGTTCCATGGAGCTGCTTAACCTTTCACTAGACTTTTTAGTCCTAATTTGCATGCGAGGTGCATCCTAGATTAGGCTAAGACAAAATGTCATTCACATAGTCGATTGTGCTATTGATGTTGGACAGTACCTATAAGCGGCGTGATAGCCACAAAGTGCTGTGTAACTAACACATGTGTATTGTGATCGCTGAGAGATGTCCGAGTGCCCGAGACGGTGCCCCGAGGACAGTATCGCTCCGTTGGTGTTATCTGTGCGTGTATTGACGGTTTTGGTGTCCAGCCGGCTCCTTGTGATGGCGTGTGATACGTGCCATTACGGTGAACCAAAGCGTAGCAGCGAGATGTTTTCGAATCTAAGACTGACCGAGGCAGGTAGTAAGGCAGGTGTCGGGACGGTGCGTTGCTCGAGTCGTGTTTGTGTGAGCGCATCTGTGAGTGGGAGTGTGTTTGTGTGAATGGGGGACACTTCCGACGCTTCGCCAGCTAAGACGGGGACGATTTGTTTTGTAGTCTCCTGACATCACCGTTAGTCATGTTCAAATATTCGTTTCCTCATTGGCAGAAACAATCTGAAGCATAACCGACGTAGTAAAACGACTAAGCCTCGCAGAATAAACAACAAAGAATAGCTGCTGTATACAAAACAGATTCCTAACCTGATATTGCAATACGTGGCACATAATTTACCTGTCCGGAGAACATGTGACTTTGTGTCGTGTTTGGATTCTTTGCTGCCTGTACCTACTCGGACCGTTTGACTTTACTGTGCGGCCGGTATGTGCCGAGCTGGCCCGGGCAGTCAGCCCTGACTGGGATGGACGCGTGTCATCAGGCCTCACCCAAAGCCGCGGCGGCCACTGGTCACACATGCTGGAACGTTTGGATTGGATGACTGAAATACACATAAAAATGGGGACTGTGTACGAGTTTGGGCCTCAGGGTCCATCGGAGTATGGCAAGGAAGGCGTTGATGCGACGGTCGTCTCTGAGAGGCAGTGCGAAATCCTATCACCGCTGCTCATTTTGAGCATATATTTGAGCATACACCAGTAGACCGACATGAACATTTTGAAGAAGTTCGTTATCATCAACATTATAAATAACTTCCATGACAAACATGACACCTCTGCCCCTGGGAAGCACCACCAATTTACACAACTCAGCGGGAATCCAATTTAAACAGCAATCTGTAAACACGTTAAAAATCGCCCACCGGGAAAGCCTCAGCTCAACAACTCAGCAGAGTATAAACCCAGCCTCCCATCGGCGCCGGCCGGTCCTTATTCATGCCGACGGTTCCCATGGTAACCGGGCTGACTGGGGCGAGGAGGGAGGGAGGGAGGGAGGAATGCCGGCGGTCAGCGGGGGATGACCTCTCCACGCGTTGGAGTGGGGACGGGCAGGGTTGGGCGGGCGGGTCGGTGGTTAGTAAACAGGTAAATGGTGTGGGGAGCAGGTGTGAGTGGGTTCAGCAGTGGTGATGTGTGGTCAACAGTGAACGCAGTGAGGTGGGAAGGCGGGTGGTTTTGAGAGGTCGTAAAGTTTTGTTGGAGTGAGCTGGAGATTCGGGTGGCAGGGTAGTGATGGCGAGAAGAGCGTCGGGGACGGGAGAGAATCTCATTCCCAGCCAAGCCGCCACGTCCGAGTTGTGAACCGTGAGTGACTCGCAGAAAGCATCGATGTGCTCAGGAACGCAAGAACGGATCCTGACTCCTGTCTTCCGGGCTTTTCTCTGGGCATTGCCCCAGTAATAACTGCATAATACAGATTGCAACGACAGTGGAGGAGTGGCGGCGGCGTGCCTCCTTCGATCGCCTGCGATGTCGGGCCGCGGCCCGCCGAGCCCGGACATCAGCCTCAGTCCGGACACCACCTACATCACGTTCGAGGACCTGGTGCCCGGCTGGCTGAGCGCGCCCGCTCCACCACCGTCCGTGGTCACTTACGACGACATCGGCCGGTCGGCGGCGTCACCGGAATCTTTGTCAGAGGGCAGGAGGGCGTCACCAGTCTCCTCAGCTGACTCCTCAGAGCCGGGGTCGAACTATGATCACGTGATTTTGACCCGAGAGAGGTCGGGTCAGTGTGTGACATCGAGCGCTGACCGGTCATATCGTCACGTGACCTCGACAATGGAACAAATGGAACAAATGGAACAAATGTACGGTCACATGAACCTCCTCGGAGATCGGCCGCCGCCGGTGCGTCTCCGCCGCTCGGGCCGGTTCAGCCTGCCGCGGCGTAACCAGCTGGTGCGCGACTCTGTGACGTCACTGGCCCGACACGGCGGTCTGATGACGTCATCGGAGGGTACGACGACCACCCGCTGCCGACTGTGGGCCTGCCTGGGACGGCCGCGACCTCGGCCCGACAGCTTCTGGTGTGAGTATACAAATATGCATGCATAAGCCAGCGACTGTTGGGGTTCGATACTCGTGGTGGGTGTACGCGTAAACTTGACGAGAACGATGAACTACATGAGTTTAGAACGACGTTTGCCTCATATTTCCATAAAAACTGAATGCTCCAATTCACTTCACTGATCTTCACTTCATTTATTTCACCTTCCCCGGTCCGATAGTCTCCATCTGCAGTCCCCACGGCCCGTCTCCGTGTAGTCCGCGACTCTGCTACAGTTGCAGTGTAGAGGTGGCAAAATGTGGACCCGAGGACCCGGTCCAAAGAACCAGTCTGGACCCGGTTCCAGGAAATTTTCTGTCGGGTCCAACCGGGTCCTTCCATAAACTATGCATATTGCACACTACACATTATTGCAAAATATGAAGTGAATGAAGTGAATGTTTCTTTGCACACAATAGCTCGTGAGTATTCCCAGTGGGAAATAGGCTGTTTTACTTGATGCAACTAACGATACCTACAAGTAGTTTGTATTAATTGACTTTTGGGGAACGGGTCCAACTGGTTCCGATTCCAACTAAGACCGGGTCTGACTGGTTCCAGAAATATCCAGCCGGGTCTGGTTCGAGTCTGGTTCCCAAAATTTTCATCTTTTGCCACCTCTATTGCAGTGTAGTCTCCGCACTCTGAGCACCGAACCGTCATCATGCTTTCTGTATGACCGTCTGCTCATCTTCATCCCATCCGCCGGCGGACGGGTCCGTCCTGCTTCACCGCAGCAGCGGGCGCCGTATTATCGTTGGCCGGTGTCCGATGAGCTGCTAATGAAGCCCAGGGAACCCGGTGCAGGCTGCACTGCACACAGAAAGGGGGGGGGGGGCTTATATCCCCAGGTGGTCATGCGTCACGGTGCGAGCTGAAGGGGCAGAAGTGCTGCAGTAATGGTGGCACAGAAACAGCTACAATCTGTAACAGATTGTATTCGAGAGAGCGTACAGGGTGTCTCAAAAGTTCGCTTACAGGTACCAGCCATGCTTTTTTGTCAATAATTCTGAATCAACATGATATTAACAGTCGAAATTTTGCATGGGCATTGGTAACAACCTTCCTCAAGCAGCTTCATTGTTTTCAAGCGCATTCGACCCTTCATGAGCTCACAAAAAGGGTTCACCTCTGACCATGGATCAGGCATGAAAATGGAGGTCGCATACTCGGGTCGGCTGAGAAACTCTCTGCTTCACGAGTAATGGGAATGGTTAGGTCGGAAATGACACATGGCAAAGTGTCGGCGAGGATGAGTACAACATGATGGTCATCTAATAAAAACGGTGGCTAAAATTTTTGAAGGACAAAACCATGCGACACTAACAGCGCTTTGAACGACCCTTGTACCGCAGCAGACTCGTGCTCCGGAAAGCAGCTGAAAATGAAGTCATAACTATTGAAAACTGACTAGAAGCTCACAGACAGAGGTTACCCAGTTTCAAAAATTGCAGGTCATCATAAAATAAAGACAAAATATCATTTAAAATTGTTTATAATATCTATAACGCTAAATTTTTAGGGAAAATAATGCGAAAATCGTCAATGCCGAGGACAAGTGACTCTCCAAAAGTGTCAATTAATGTAAAGTTTTATCTAACGAAGTTTCAAGAGGCAGATCTGGAGCAAATAGCTTTCTTTTACACACAAAATCCGGACAAAACCGCACGATGGACAGGTTTTGGCCGTTTACAAAGCAGAACCTCTCCTGAGGAAAACACTCCGGAACCCAGCGAAGGTCTTGGCATTGGGAATGACGAGCGTTCGGGATTTGCAAATTTTGCAAAATGTGTCTAAAAAACAGATGGCCGACACATTCTGCTACGATATGCTGCGAAAAATTTGCCCCTGGCAGTTCCCATTTGTTCAGGAATGGGGTTGTTTTGAAAAGGAAAATGGTGCTTGGGAGGTCAGCGCCAGTCATTCATGAAGGAGTTAGCGCCAGAGAAGACCTACAAAATACTCACGGATGGTGTCGATGCAAGCTATCGGCTTTCAGGGAGAAGCGGATGTTGCCGGGGAGCTCGTCAAACCTAAATCCGACGCAGAAACTGCAGGGGATTCCCCTACAAGAGCTTGAAAGCTGGTAACCTTTTATCAGCCTCCGGCAGCTGACGGAGTGACGAAAATCGGTATGGGCAAATATTTTTGGAGATACAGCAAAGGGTTTGGTTTCCAACCTTCCGAATCAGTTGTCAAAGCATGCATATTTGTCTAGTGTACACACGGACACCAAAACCTTAGATTTTTGGCCGGTTCTTATATGCTTTATTGACATGGGAAATGTGTAAGCGAACTTTTGAGACACCCTGTAGTAGCACGAGAGCGTGCTGACTAGAATACACCATATAAAAATATGATTTTATGAATCCTCAGTCCAATGCATTTTAACGAAAACTTATCATCAGGTACTGGATCGATCTCGCACCTGTAGTCTGTACGTCGATGCCAACGTATCTCTACTCCGATGTTAGCGTCAATGATCACCCATCGGTCCAAACCTGCGCCCAGCCTCCAGCCCCAAAACGTACCGTCCCGTTCTGTCTCTATCGGTCCGGACGGCCCAAATCGGCGGCGATCGTTCTCAGTCGCCGGCGTCCATCTCTGGGCCGGAGCCGAAATAAGTCTGCTGTCGGGACGGGCGTATTTCTCTCCGAATTTAATTACCGTCTTTCAGAACAGCTCAGCGGCAGCACAGCGGTGCTAAGCTGGGGCTAGAGCGATGGCAGGCACAACGGCGGCTGTGGACACTGGTGACAGTGAGAAGGATAAACTTCGTCTATTTGGCGATAATTAGTGCCGCCTAGTGACATGACCACTCATTTCCTGACTATTATTTAACATAACTGGCAAATTATGACATAATTACCACGACATAAGTGGCAGACTACCAACTCCAGGACCACCCCAGCACCTCGTCGAGCCCGCCGCGGCCACCGAGCGCCGGTGCCGACGGCACGTGCGACTCGCCTCCCGCGTCGGCCGCCGTCGCTGGCACGGCGGGCGGCGGCCGGTCGGCTCGAGTCCGACTGTCGGTGCCGGCCAGTGGTGCTGCCGCTACGGCAGAGATCACAGTGCCGCCGACGGGACGGACTGAGAGAGGCAGAGGTGGGGTGCTCGAGGAGTGGGGAGAGGAGAGTGAAGACAGGTGTGAGGAAGGTGTGAGAAAGTGTGAGGAAGGTGTGAAAAAGTGTACTACCATGTGAAGCGCAGCGGCAGCCTAGCCGAGTCCAGTATATGATACTGTAGCGTACTTGCTACTGTCAGCAGATTGGTGCTGGTGACGACAGTGCATTAGCGACGAATTCTATCGTCCATGCAAAAACATACAAAGGCCCTCAGAGTGACAGCGTGAGCTTGCGATTCGGTCTGAACGATCGTGAGCTATTTTCCAGCATAATCAGCAGACATCTGTGCGAACGTTATCAGAAGCAAAACTCTCCAAATGAATTCCCGCCCAGTTGGATGTGAAGCTCTCACCTAGCGCAGCCGGCGAAGTTACTGACGATCCATCCTCCACCGTCACTCCCGGAACCTTCACCGTCCGCTCAGCGCCCGGCCCGGTCGGCGTCCGTCTTCACGCGCTCACAACAGGCGGCTGAGGGCACTGATCACGGTCCGGCTGTCCACGCGTCGGCGGCAGGACGTCCATCGTCAACACTCAGAGCTGGACCGTCCGCTAATGGAGGGGCGGTAGGGAAGGTCTCGGAGTGTCACAGCTGCAGCTCTGAACCGCTCAGTTGCTGCTCCGGTGTTGGTGTTGCTGGTCGTCCAGTAATCCGGTGCTGAGAGCCGAGAGGATCTGTAACTGGAAGAAAGGAGAGGACTGGATCAAGAAACGCTCCAGGAAGTAGCGAGGCGTAAGCCGTTCTACAAACTAGTGGAAACTGATGGCCGACTATGTCACTGACGACCTTGAGTGAATAGTGATACAAAACCAGCGTTACTGCGGTGAGCAACAAAAACTGCACCGACTAATTAGGACTCAGAATCAGAAGCTCCACCTGTGGACAGAACAAAACATTCCGACTGCCGACCCATCATCGCACCTGTCTGGCTGCAGTTCGGGCTCCCGCGGGGCGCTGACGGCCGACTCTGTCCGGTAACAGCGGCCAGCCGGCGGTGTCAGCGCGGCCAGGAAGCGCCTCTGACGGCCGGCGCCCGCCCGACAGGTGGGGCCGACCCGCCGCGCTGATTTACCGGCGCCGCTGCCGTGCCGCGCCAATGCAGTGTGGACTCTGCAGGACCAAACAGAGGGCCGCAACGCGCCGCCACGTGCCACGTAAGTACCCGCCCCCTCCCCTCCTCACGCCCTAGGGGGTCGGCAGGCGACAGCCGCTACTTAGTTTTAACTCCACTGATAGGCTTTTCTGCTCAGCTTTGATGAGCGGAGTAGCTGGAAGCTCGGGAAGTGGGACGGAATTGTGCCACTGGGTCGATGGGCCGCTGCCCGTCTCTGATACCGCCCGCGGTATTGTTATTGTAGCGGAGGGTTGCACCACTCATCTGCCGATCATCGGGAACAGAATACCTCTGTGCCTGTCGTCACGGGCACTGAGGAGGACGAGCGCCTGCCATGTCCGAGTCCGTTACCGTGATCGATCGCACCGCCCGACTAGTTAGAGCAGCCGACATCAGATACCACCGCTGGCCAGAGCAGGCTGGTAGATGATTCATAACTCGCGTAAGATGGTGCTTGTCTGCCTGCAATCAGCACACATGTAGAGATCAGTTATCCACCTCCTCGTTCCCTGACTAAGGGTGGTGCAAATCCGTCATGCAATACAAACTGTATGCCATTTATACCCAGCATGCTTAGTTAGCTTGCAACAATCCCTTCAGCAGACCAGCTCATCTACGTCATCGCTTGATTTACCCATCCCAGCTCGGCCGCTCCGGTTTCATTGCGACAAACAGCAGTAAATTAAACAAACCGAGTGCAAATGACCGGCGACCATATGGCGGCGGCGCCGGGAGCGCACATGGGAAGTTGAATGACTGTCGGACGCTGCCTGGCACCGGTTCAACACCCGCTGCCCTGGATAACTATTGTGCTCGGCTGCTCGCGCGTGTGCGTGTGTGGTCTGTCTGGCTGGCTTCGAGCCATAGTCTGTGCCCGTATACTGATCCAGTGAACCGACACGGGCTGATCAGACTGAATCCAGTCTGGCCGGCGGGGTGATCATTGAATCATCACCATATAACGACCAAGACTGGTGCCATCCTGGTGCTGGTGTGCCTTGGTCTTCCTTGCTCCAGCCTCAATAACTCTCGACTGCTCGGACAACACCCTGTATCAATTTATTTCTGTCCCGACTCGCACTCCCAAGTCCCAACTCGTCCCTCTACCAGTTCCCGGGTCAGCCCCTGCCACTCGCCCCGTGTTTCTCACCTCTCTTCACGCGCACTGAGCGCATCCCAGGGCAGCGCCTCGACTGGCCAAGTGTCGTCTTCGACCAGGCGGCTGTACCGAGGAGCGATGGCCGACCTGTCGGCAAGCGACACCGGCGGCTGTGCCCGCTGCCGTGAGCCATCGCGCGGCACGTGGACGGCTCCCAACAGGCGCGGCCTGAAGACGACGAGCCGGGCCGGGCCGCTGCGCTGGTCGCTTTACGCACCTGTCACCAGTGCGTGGCGCGTGGCCTCACTGGTAACTACACATTGTCAAGTGATGGAGCATAAACGTGTAGGGACCGAAACACCCGGCATGAAGAATAATCTTTCAAGAAGAATTAGAATCAAAAGACAGAAGATTTAGCTTTCGTACCACATATGCGTTTATTTGAAGGGAGGAAAACCCGATGGGTGAAACCAAAATATACGCATGAAAGATGGCAGTATTTATCACTCGCTATCGGATATTGGGTCTCAAGAAAACATTTGGGTTTCTAAAAGCAGCACGCCATACTAAAGAAACAACACAAGAATATTAATTGGCCTTAACATACATCATTATTGAGCTCGTAACATTTCAAAGTAAACCAGCACAGGGGCTCAGCTTACTTTACTATGGATCAACATGAATAATTGCACTGAAAACATTCTTAATTGCACCAGTGATCAAGCCATGGCGCTGCATATACGGCACGCTCAGGTACATGCCCTGAATGTGAAAACGCATCGATTGGAATGTTAGACTATTTGATGCGGGGAGTTCGGGCGGAACAACACGACGGCTAACGACGTGAGTAGCAATTTACCCTACGGGTATCTATCGCATATATCTCTGTATAATAGCTACCTTTATATCACATATCACCACAACACGTTTCAAGCAAACTGAATCAATTATTCACTGATTACGTACGTTAGTAACAAACCGCTGATAGCTTGAACATTAACATAGCCTCATCAGCAGATCAGGTTAATACCACGATAATTGCACATGAAGCATTATGACTGACATTATGACTTATATCGATCACCATCATCTAGAGCAGACCTACCACAGTCTCAGCTGACTGACTATTGTCCATTACGACGTCACAGTCGAACAATCACAGTTCGCGACAGCCGAATATCGGGTGACTGACGGCGCCCCCATGGCCGGGCGCCAGCCCCGACCGAGCCCACCCATCAGCGCGCATACGATAACCACAAAACCGTCCCATAAATCCGTCCGGCGCCAGACCGCCGAGCCGGCGGCGCTCCATAAACTGGCGCCGTTAGCGGACGACTCAATCAGGCGGCCGGTGCTGCGGGCGTCACTGACGCTGCATCCACACCGGCGATGGACTAAGGCACACATGAGGCCCAGAACGGTCACTAACACACTAAACTGGGGATGACACCCCGAGTATCGATAGGCAGTACTCACCAAGGGAGATAATCCTACCTGTCTCCGGTGAGATGTGTAGCGGTAGCCTCTCTGTGCCAGGTAGCCGTTACCGAGGTCGCTCACCGCGGGGCTACCGTTTCAGGTGACCCCATACCGGTAGTTATCAGTCTCTCTAAGAGATCGGTCTGATCAGACTCAGAGATCAGTCGCTTTGTGCACCGAAGGACTGCCCCGGAGGAGTAATTCACTGCATTATTCAAGCCGCCGACCGATCGCCGACCAGGCTCGGTCTGGTGTCGGTCGGTGTTCATGTGGCGGCTGTATCAGTCGCTATGCCGCTCAGCTCAGCCGTTGATACAGCCGTCCGTCATTCTATTAGTCGCTGTGTCGGTCGGCGATCTCTGCCGGAGGCCAGTCGCCCTCCCGCCGTCGCTGGCGCAGCTCCACATACGGCGAGCTGCCGGAGCCGGTCACCAGCCGCCAGTAGGACATGTCCTGCCGCAGCTCGACCAGCTGCTCGCGGCAGAAGCCGTCCAGCGCCAGCAGCCTCAGCCGCGGCAGGGTCACCACGTCTGCCACCAGCCGCAGCAGCTCGTCCGGCTGCTCCGGGTCGCCGCAGCCGACCAGCGACAGCCGCTCCAGCGAGTCGCGCGTGCGCACTGTGCGCAGCAGCGCCGGCAGCTGGTCGGCCGGCACCCGGCAGCCGTCCAGCAGCAGCGCGCGCAGCCGCTCGCACTGCGCCAGCAGCACGCAGAGGTGCTGCACGGCGGCGTCCTGCGCGGCCAGCGGCGCCGCCTCCACGCCTTCCGACAGGTCGAGCACCTCCAGGTGAGCCAGGTGCGGCCACAGCGACAGCGCCTCCAGGTCGGCGGCCGCCAGCTGGCAGCCGGGCAGGCAGAGCGCGCTCAGCGGCCCGGGCAGCTCGGCCAGCAGCTGGCCCAGCCGGCGGCGCAGCGGCCAGCGCAGCTCCAGCCGGCGCAGCGCGCGCTGCTCGGACAGCAGCTCGGCCAGCGCCGGCCAGTCGTCCGGCTCGGGCTGCGCGCCGGCCGGCAGCAGCAGCTTCAGCTCGCGCAGCGCCGGCAGCTGGCGCACCAGGCCGGCCAGCCAGGCCGGCGGCACGGCGCCGTCCACCTGCACGCTGAGACTGGTGACGGCGGCCGGACGCAGCGCGGCCAGCACCTGGCCCGCCAGCACCAGGTTCTGCCGGTGCTCCTCCGGGTCCGGCCCGGACGAGATGACCGCCACACGGCGCAGCACGACCCGCGCGGCGCCCACCGGACCCGCCAGACCGCTCTCCAGCAGTCGGCGGGCGTACATCCGGCGGCTCTCCGACAGCTTCATCCTCAGTCCCAGGCTGACCGAGCCGGGCGGGCCGGCGGAGACCGGCGCCGCGTCCCACACCATGCCGACCAGCGCAAACAGCTCGACCCAGCTGAGCGGGCGCGCGCTGATGTCGAGGTGCCGCAGCCGCCGACAGCCGCCCTCCTCCTGCAGCTTGAGGAAGGTGCGCAGCAGACTGCACGCGGCGCTCAGCACCTCCTTCTTGTTCTCCTGCACGCGTTTGCCGCCGTAGCGCTGCACGAACAAGTCACACTCCTCCATCTCCATGACGGACCAGCAGTCCCGCTCCGGGTGGCCCTCCTGCAGGAACGTCAGCCCGTGCAGGCCCTGCACCTGCTGCAGCACCAGCAGCTCCTGCGGCCAGTGCCGCAGGAACGCCGCCAGAATCGTCTCGTTCTGGCGCGCCTTCTGCTGCGCCGTGCGCCGGATGCCCACGCTGAGGTGCCCCACCGTCTGGCAGCTGTAGAACACGCTGTTTTTGACGCGCACGGCGTCGAGCACGGTGCGGCAGAGTGGCACCAGCAGCCGGAACGGCAGCTGGTAGCAGGCGGCGCCGCACACGTAGCCGTCCAGCGGCGCGCGGTCCAGCAGCACCGACCAGCACAGCTCGTATAGCGTCCGCGGCTGGCGGGCCGGGGTGATCTGCTCCGACTCGGACATTGTGCCAGATGGTGAGTGAAGGCTGCTGCAGGCTGCTCACTCCTGGAAACAGACAGCTGCTTATGGTTATCACTTATCTGTTCAGATGGATTGGAGCATTTCAACTGCTTCTTTTCTTGTACAATGTCAAAAAGTTTGATTTTTACTTTCAATCAAGGGAGAGAATGCTTGTACATAATCAACAATGCTGATCCTGTTCAAAATAGTTGATTTTCTTTTTAAAATTTAAACCACATTTGCTAGACTAACAGATATCAATAACAAATGTTACAAAGACAAATAAGGGACTAATTTGGAAAATGGATGAATTTGACTGATATAAGAATCTATTGATATCTATCAATCACATTGCCCTACAATCTTTCAAAACATAAATGCAGACATTAGTGTTGATTAATAATTCTTGCATCCCTGATTTCAGCATAGATGGCTACCTATCAGTCTCCCCACTTAATCATAAATTAGAAGAGCTATCCTATTGTGAAATCAATTTTCTTTTTGGTAAAAATTTAAGCAATAAGACTTTGGACTTTAAACTTTGGCCGCAGCAGCAATTCATTCGAACTGAAGCAAACCAAACTTTATGGGTAGTCGTAAGGGTCGTAAGGCTGTAAGGCAAGGCTTTACGGTTTTTACAATGAGAGGGTTGAAACTCGGTATTATGTAAGAATATGAAAAAATTATCCATGAAATCTGCTTAGGACGTAGCCAGGAGCCTGCCACTAATAGGGTTAAACTTGACATTTACCCTGTCACCGACCTGAAACTCGGACTTACTTTTACCGAAAACTTGACTCACAGGCGCACGGGAGACTAAGTGGCATATCAGTAAGGCGGCACTAGCTAAATTTTCACATTGTATGATTCTGGTATGACTATTGACTACATCGAAAATGCAAAGAGAAACACATTCACAATCAAAAGAAAATTGAAATTGAAATACAAACATCAAAGCATCAAAGAATGGCCTGGGCGACAGCTATCGCGCAGAAGAGACAAAATAGCCCAGTGTTTACATCCCGTGACCGCCACGTGCTGCCACCTAGCAACTAAACTACGAAGCTTCAGTTCCAAGTCTCAACGTAGGCTTCACTTCAGCAACGCTTCAGCTCAGCACACCTCTGAACTTGAAGGCTCTGAGTCTGAACTTGAAGTGGCTCTGAAGGTCTGCCAATAAATATTATATATGTAGATGGCCTTAGCCAATAAACTCTGCCCTTGCTTGGATGGAACAATTGTATTTTGAATTAGCTCAGGTGTAGGTACTGCATTGATAAGCGAGCCGGAGTAGGTAAGTGATGCTAATTGATGCTATTGGTGATGCTAATTGATGCTACTTGGTGATGCTAAACGGGCCGAGACCCGTGTTCAACCGTCTTCCGTCTTGACGGTCTTGGTCCCTGAAGCCTGAATAGCGGCTTTGTAGGTATGTTCTATGGGTTTCACAGAACAATCGTTATCGTCTGCGTCAGAACTCAGACACTATGGGGAAGCGGGGGGAACACCGCCACTGTGGGAAACACCGCCACCCCATCTGGCGGCGAAAGTATGAAATGTGAAGTGTAAAAATCCGTTATTTCCTATTAACCGCACGAAGGTAAGCGTCTTCTGATTTGTGTTCCGGTGTTTCAGTGTAATCGAAGCTCAGTGTGGGCATTTAAAGAAAAATGCACACTCTCTTATAAAAATTCGATGAGTTGGGAGCACTTTTGAATGTCTTTAAGAAGAGACTCATTTTGATTTACTTGATTACATCGAAAAATAGCTGATCGGCTTTGTCCAGTAAGAAAGGTTTGCTTGAACCGTGTAGTACATTCTTGCCGCTGGCGATTTTTGCTTGTGATCACTTATTGGGGAACACAACACCGCCACCCCGTGGCGGTGTTACCCCGATTGAGTGTGGTACCAAAAGTTGTAGTATGAATACAATGGTTTTATTCAACTAAATTCGACCGATATGAGTGTGTACCTGAGGACGAAACAGAAATAACAGATGTTAGCGAGAGCACCACATTCGACAGTAATGGGTGGTTTATCACATTTTCCCCCGCTGTGTTAAAGACACGAGTAGGCAGAAATCGAGTAGCAATGTAACGAACAACGCAACAGGCGTCTTTGTACACGTTTGCATAAGCTAAGGCGCACGTCTGGCTTCGATGAGCGCCTCAGTACACGCTCTTATATGTTAAGGCGCACCACTGGCTTCCTTGTCCGGTTAGACCGACGCACTTCGGTCGCCGGTTCTGACTCGCTCGGTGGCGGCGCGCTTGAGGGTCCCGGGACCGCTTCTGACTCGTACGATGGCGGCGCACTTGAGGGCACCGGGGACTGGCGGCTCGAGAGCGGCGTGCTCAAGGGCTCCGAACGGATGCCCGGGGACCCCGGCTCGCCCGCTTCCTCTCCCTTCTCGTTTCCTTGTTGCTGTGCACAACCGCCGGGGGCGAGATCTCGCACAGAGACCGTGTCGACCTTGCCGCCGGGATAGCGCACGAAAGCGTAGTGCGGGTTCGCCTCCAGGAGTTCGACTGGCTCGACTGGTAGGTCAAGCTTTCCGCGGACGTATTTCTTCAAGAGAACCTGCCCGGGGTTGAGGAGCCAGGACGGTAGAGAAGCTCCCGTCGCAGACCGCCGCTGGAAACAGAACATCCTTTCGTGTGGGGTGGCATTTGTTGCTGTGCACAACAGAGACCGGATAGAATGCAGGACGTCAGGCAGGACGGCGTCCCATTGTCCTCTGCTCAACTTCCTGCTCTCCATAGCGAGTTGAACGGCACGCCAGATGGTGCCGTTTAGCCGCTCGCATTGTGAGTTGCCTTCGGGGTGGTACGGTGTCGTGCGACTCGTGGCGATCCCCAGTCCTGTCAGGAAGGATCGAAGCTCAGCTGACATGAAAGCTGAACCGCGGTCGGAGTGCACGTATGCCGGCATCCCGAAGATGGAGAAGAGATGAGTGAGGCATTTGATCACGGTGGCGGTTGTCATGTCCCGGCACGGATAGGCGAACGGGAACCGAGAGAACTCATCGATCATAGTGAGGATGTACTGGTTGCCGTTCGGACTTGGGGGTAGGGGACCTTTGAAGTCCACGTTGATTCTTTCGAATGGAGATGTAGCCTTCACCAGCTTCGCGGAGGTGGCCCTGAAGAAGTTCGGCTTACATCGACAGCAGACCGGGCAGTTTGAGGTGACGCGGCGCACGTCATCCACGGAGTAGGGCAGATTCTTGCTGCGCACGAAGTGCAGCAACCTCGTTACTCCGGGGTGAACGAGAGACTCGTGCAGCTGCTCCAGGGCCGGATGTGAGGCGGCTGCGCAGTGGGCGCGGCTGAGCGTATCAGCAGGAATGTTTTCTCGTCCTGGTCGGTACTTGATGGTGTACGAGAGTGGCGAGAGCTCGATTCTCCAGCGTAGAATCTTTTCATTCTTGATCTTGCTCGACACTTTGTTGTCGAACATGAAACTCACGCTTCTTTGGTCAGTGAGCAGGTTGAAGTGGTGGGTTAGGAAGTGCCTCCACTTTCTGATAGACTCCACGATGGCGTAGGCCTCCTTTTCGACGATGCTGTGACGCTTCTCGGCTTCGTTCAGTGTGCGTGAGAAGAAGGCCACAGGACGCTCGTCTTGGGTAAGAGTCGCTGCGATGGCTTCGTCGGAAGCGTCTGTTTCGATGGTGAATGGGGCGTCATCTCTGATGACGGCGACGACCGCTTGTGAGATGTCCGTCTTCAGCTGCTGGATAGCCGCTCTGCAGTCGGGATTCAGAGGGAACGACGATGCAGAGATGAGGGGACGGATCTTCTCAGAGTATGAGGGGATCCATCTGGCGTAGTACGCGAACAGGCCGATGAGCCGTTGCAGAGACTTCTTGTCGCGAGGTTCCGGCAGCTCTTGAAGTGGACGCAGTCGTTCGGGGTCCGGTCTCAGCTGGCCTCGCTGGATGGAATACCCGAGGATATTCACCGTCTCCAGGCCGATCTTGCACTTGCTTCTGTTCAGCGTGAGGTGGAGCGCATCGGCAACCTCCCAGAAGCGCCGGAGGTTCTCATCGTGCTCCTCCCTCGTCTGGCCACAGATGGTCAGGTCGTCCAGATAAGCATAGGTCTCCTTCAGGTTGTTGGCCGCGATGATGTCATTCATGACGCGCTGGAAGGCGGCTGCGCCGTTCGTCACCCCCATGGGGATTCGCTTGAATTGGTACAGCTTTCCTGCCGCTTGGAACGCTGTGTAGGGTCTCTCAGATGCGTCTATCTCGATTTGGTAGTAGGCGCTGGAGAGGTCGAGGACGCTGAAGAAGCTGTTTTTCCCGACCTTGTTGACGAGCTCGCCGATGTTCGGCAGAGGATACGCGTCCAGTTCAGTGAATCTGTTGATAGTCTGAGAGAAGTCAACGACCATCCTTTTTTTCTTGTTCTCCGTGTGTGTGACGACAACTTGGGCACGCCAGGGTGAGCGACTTGGCTCGATGACGCCCTCGTTTAGCAGACGTTGAACTTCGTTCTCGATGAACTTCTCGTCCACGTGGCTGAAGTGTCGTGCTCTGGTCGCGATGGGATGGCAGTCGGGGGTGAGGTTGCTGAAGAGCCTCGGGGATACCGCTTGACTGACTTTCATCTGCGCGAGATTGCAGATACTGAGCTCGGGTTCGTCGCCACCGAGCTCCAGGGTTACACCCTCGTGTCTTCGGAGGAACGGCATGCCGAGAATGACGTCCGTGCAGAGATCCGGGAGGATGGACAGTTCGACATCCCGGTACTCCCGATCGTCAACGGTCACGGTTGACACGCAGTATCCTCGCACCTGTGTTGAGAGACTGGACGATGCCATGGAGACTTTAGACGATCGTGGCAGCACCCTCATGCCGAGTGCGGGGACGAGCTTTGCGCTGATGAAGTTGTCAGAGCTCCCTGTGTCGATGAGAGCTGTAACCTGACGCCCGTTGACTCTCGCGCTCACTGTTGCTGGCGCGTGAGTAGCGGCGGCAGAGCTTGAGGCTGCGAGCGTGGGCGAGAGCTCCGGCTGGCGAGGTTCTTCAGGGTAGGACTCGTACTCCTCCTGTACGGCCGACGCGTTAGCCACCGACTTGGAGCGGCACACCTTCTGCCAATGTCCAGATTTGCCGCACTTCCCACAGGTTGAGTTTCTTGCAGGACAGGCTGCTCGTGGGTGGCGTTTTAGTCCGCAGAAGAAACACGGAGATTGTGAGGCTGCAGCTACGGAAGCGTCTGCAGTTGGAGATGCGGCGGAGGCTGCGACCGGATCGACCCGTACCGTCGGGGACAGGTAGGATTCCGCGTTTCGTGCGGCTTGCTCCAGTGACCGCGCTTGTTGGACCGCTTGGTCTAGGGTCAGAGTCTGGTTTTCCAGTAGTCTGGTTCTCATGCTGGCGTTTCTCAGGCCCCTGATAAAGGCATCGCGCACGAATGCCGCGCGATGCTCTATGGCTGTGACGGCGGCGAAGTTACAGTCACCCGCCAGGTTGTTCAAGGCCAGAAGGAACTCGTCGATGTTTTCTTCTGGCTTTTGGTGCCTCGTTGACAGCAGGTGCCGCGCATAGATTTCGTTTGGCGTCTTCAGATATGCAGCGTCGAGTTGCTTCAGGGCTGCATCGTACGTCTGACAGTCTTGAATCACGTCCACGACTTCTGGTCCGATATGGAGGAAGAGTAGTTCGAGCTTGTCAGGATTGTGACTTTCGATAGTCGTCAAGAAGTACTTAAATCCTCGGAGCCAGAGCTTCCATTTCTTGTGAGCTTGAGGATCGTTTGGAGGGACGTCGAACTTGTCTGGTCTGGCGATCCTCTCCATGTCTTGTCATGAATTTAGTTGAATAAATTGTGGTACCAAAAGTTGTAGTATGAATACAATGGTTTTATTCAACTAAATTCGACCGATATGAGTGTGTACCTGAGGACGAAACAGAAATAACAGATGATAGCGAGAGCACCACATTCGACAGTAATGGGTGGTTTATCACATTGAGGTTGCGGTGTTTCCTGTTCGTAGCGTGATAAGTGACGAAACTCCAAAGACACGATTTATTTATGTTCGTAGATGTTCCTAAGTCGGGAATAAGCAGCTTATTTGATTTTTTACTTTATATTTTTCATGCATCCCGACCAACCACTTGCCAGCTGTATAAAACTGGCAAACAGCTGATGAACCTATACCTACACTGTGCTATACCTATTATTTGGGTGTCCATTACCGATTATTTGCGAAAATTACCACTTACCGACAGGAAACTCATCGCACGCGATCTCTGAACGATTTAAAGCTTTCGTAGGAATGGGTTGGGTTAACATCAACACCGGTGGCGGGGTTACCCACACAATTTGTAGGCGGCAAATATGCAAGGTATTTTTAAAAGTCGTGATACATGAAAACCTTTTAGGAGCATGCAAAATAAGTACCTAAAACACGTGAGAAAATGTTTAAATATTGTAACCAAGACAATAACTACCAAGAGACTTCACACATATTCTCTCATTTTGGCGAAAAGCTTAGGGGGGCGGTGTTACCCCCGCTTCCCCTACTACTAGGTAGGTACCTACACTAATAGCATCGTACGTCTAACCCAACAATAAATGCTAAATAACTATGCATTACCAACCAATGTTGACAAACTGAGTCTGGGATGCCAAGTGACGGTCAACAATACGCTTAAACAAGTCAACCTTTTATGCTTTCAGCGTTTGCTGTAAAAGTAAGTTTATAAACGACCGACTGCCGGTAGCCGGTCGGCGCTGCTGCGCTGGACTCACCCTGTGACGGTGAGCCGTGAGCCCAGCAACAGTTCCCCTTCCCGCCGCCGCGTCACCGAGGACGCTATTGTCTTGTGGCATTTCCGAGCTGTCTTGAACAATGAACGGGTCCGGGCGGACGTCTCAACTTGTGCGGAAGACGGGGTGGAATTTGACCTCAGGGAGCGACCCTCCGGTCCGTCGACTGACTCTTCCAGACCCGGCGGGCGACAGGGCGGACCGGAATCACCTCATGGGGTCAGGTGACAGAGCCGTTCATCGGATACCGCCGCGCCGGTCTCCGCCTCAGGCCGAGCGAGCTGCCCCGAGACAGTTGGTGACGCGACCGGCGACAGACGACCGGCGGGACGGACCGCGTGAGGAGTGTCTCGGCACAGTCGTTTGGGAAACCGCCTGATAATCTGAAGAAGAGAGGACATAAGCGGCACAAGAAGGCTGGAGAGGTTTGGTGGGGAGATAACGTAAAGTGATAAAAGACTGCAATGGAAAACGAGTTTAATCACGAAGAGACTGAGCGTTTGCCAATGTTTGTAAAAACAAGATCACTATCGTTTCGCTTCAAGAAAAGATTGAAGAGAGCCACCAGCTTTTCTGTTTTTCCAACTCAAAGACGGAAAACTCAAGGTGAGTACCACCTACCTGTTGCAAGGTAAGGCCTATAGTTGACCGGCGATCCCGATCAATCACATGCGATCTTTCATCTTATGACGCCTTTTTGCAACGCAGCATAAATTCTGAAATATACGTAAAATGTCCCATAACATATACTGAACCATTGAACTATGGTCGATGAATGATGCGAACGTGCAAACTCTACCTACCAGTGTTACCAACAGTTCTACACCTACACTTATCTCGCCTCGATGTCGATTGCCGCGGCGCATCCTTTTTGTTTGCATATTTATAGTCACCGTGGTTTGCATCTCCTGTACTGTGATCTCATGCATCTCCTGAACGGAAGATGCCTCACTCACATTTGTTTTGAGCCGTCATCAGCTGATCATGTAATTTTGTCGGGAAAATGGCGCAAGGATCGTGCAGGGATAAGAATCATCGTGTGAAATCGCGGAAGTTTCATTTAGGATTCAAAATATTTAGCTGCTGTGCCAGCCGAAATGAGCCGCGTAACGAATTTGGTAAGTGTTACGTTTATGTATTTCGTCGATTTTACGCTTCACGATTTGTAATGGCTCACGTTTATTTTGGTGTCAAATGCCGCTGTCGGAAGCCTTTCATTTTCTTTTTTTTTTTACACAAAATAAGCTAAGCTTGTCTCTTGTTTTGTTAAGTATTTCACTCCTGCGAATGATGCTCGTTATTAAATGTTACCAAAAATAGGTAGGCCTGGGATATATAAGAAATGCAAGGGTAAAAAGTGGGTCACTTGTTTTTCCATTGCAATTGCATTCGATTTTCCAGCGCATAGCTAGTTCAGACTTCAGTGCAAGTGCACATTCCATACTCCATGACCTAATCCAAAGCATATTGTTGGGCTGAATGAAATTTCCTTGCCAAATTCTCGTATGCGTTATGATTGTATGGAGTTTGGAACTTGAATAGTTACCTGATATATTGGGCACTTTGACTTAGAGCGAGGAACAGTCCACGTGACATGTTTACACTTCCGAAAAAAAATAAACACATCAGCAATGCAAGACTACAATTATAAGCTGGCAGGGCATGAGGGCAGCGCTGAACTATTTCTGAACGGCGCATCCCTAAGAGCCGTTGTCACTAGGACTCAAGGCCGTATACTCGGACTCGCTCGAAGGGTTTGGCCGACGATGGAGGACAGCAGGAAAGGGGTAAGAGACGAGAGCAGTGAACGTTCTGTTCCCACGTTTCCATGTGCTCCGTTTGTGAGTACTGAGACGTGTCTCTCTCCCTCAGATGACCTGCCATACAGTCCGCCGTCGCCGCCGGCGCGCGCCCCGGCGGAGGTCGACTGCGACGGCCGCTCGCTGGACCGGCCGGCCTCCAGTCGCAGCTCGGTGGACAACTCGTCGGCCACGCAGCTGCAGCGTGAGTGGAACGACGAGTCCGCCTCGGCTAGGGACGTCAGAGGAAACTGCACTTATAAATTGAGCGGTCTTCTGATGTTTCCATTATCACTTATGCCATTGTCGTCAATGAATTGTAATGATAAGTATTTTTTCTTGTTTATCATTTGTCGTGATTTATAAACACATGCTAATCAACGCCTTTTTGCCAGTGGATGTGTGGAATACGCGTTGAATTGTTGATATAATCGATTTCATTTTCTATCGCTATCGATCCACCTTATCCATAGCCATTGCACTGCACCTGTCTTCTGTCGAAACTCGACTGCCTGTTACAATACACACCCTTCCCGACCTGCAGATCTGAAGAACACGGTGGGCGGCGCGTCCCGCGGCGTCAGCACCATCGAACTGGTGAAGGCGGACTGCAAGGTCGGCATCGTCGTCTCCGGTGAGTACGGCATGTTCAGTCGCTCGATACCGCACCCGGACATTATACTCCTCCCATGCCGCCCGTTCGCTCGCCTCTCTGGAGTGGTCGGGCGAGAAGGGCGGTGTATAGAAATGGGGTGTATCCGCCACTCGTCTCGGCGCTCGCCCTGTGTGTGGTTGACTACGGCCTCCGACTGTAAACATACCCCACTCGGGGTAAGGGGAGCGACGGGACTAGACGGTGTATTGATGGTGTTGATACGACCTTAACTTGTCGTTGGTATCGCTCTTGATGTCCCCAAGGTGCAATCTGGGCTTTAAACGGATTGATTAGGTTGGTGGTTATTAATGAAGTGAGTTAATTACCGCAGTGCGAACGAAAGGTAAAACATCGCCGGCGTCGCGTTACGCCATTCGGCCTGATCCATCAGCCGCATAAGCTCATTCACCTGAAATTGTGGGTAGATTTAGTGCTCAACTATTTTACCTCGCTTCCTAGCTTCAAATAAAGCAGCTCATAGCTCTTTTTGATTTTGATTAAGCGAATTAAATAATTGAATTGAAATTATAATCCTTTAGAAATAGTTTTATGCTGCTTACCTTACTGTTAAGTGTTCTGACTAGGGTAGCAACATGGGCCGTAACCCCGCCGCTAATTTTTATGTTACCGGGAACAGGTAACGACCTGAGACCAGCGCGGCGCCGGCAGTAACTCGCGGGGCGGGCAGTTACCGCGGCTGCCCGAGTTTGCAGCGGGCCAGCTCCACCCCGCCATGAGCCGTGTGTCGCGGTATTTCGGGCGCGTCTGAGAACCCACCCGGGCTAGTACCGCACTCCTGGAATACCCGGGTGCTTCAGAAGGGGTGTCGTGTCAGGTCGTCTGCCGGGAAACATATGCATCCCGCCATCCTGACTTGGGACGCTCCCTACCGTGATCAGTCCGAGTCCCCACCCACTCACAGCCCGTCTAAGTAGTGCCGCTCCGGCCCACTGCCCAGAACGAGCGCTCCGCTGTCCCGACAGCCGCGGCGCCGTGCCAGCGACCTCGCCACTCGGCAGGCTCGCCAAACGTGTGTTTTCCTACCAACTATCGCTCATGGGGTGCGTCGGCTGCGCGCAGCCCCTTTGAAGCACGGCCGGCCGCCCATCGGGCTGTCAGACTCTGGGCGCGGGTCTGAGAGGGCCGTCCGCCGGGCGGGGGCGGCGGACAGCCGCCCAGAGGCCGCCGCGGGGTCACAGTGGCGGCCGACTGCCCGCCCAGCTGGCAGGGTGGCCTCCGGGAGAGCTGGCGAGCCGCCGGACAGTGCTGTGTGCGGGCCGCGGAGACAGGCGGACAGTGTCGTGTTCGGGCCACAGACTGGCGGGTAGTGCCGTGTGTGGTCCACTGTAGCGGAGTCATGTGCAGGAAGCTGGGTAATTAGCTGGAACAGCAAAGCGGCTGTGGCGAACCGAGTGATGTGTGGTTGTTGCCTGTTGGCCTTGGTGTGCCTTCAGACGATGAACGCGAAGGAAGGACTGAATGAGATATGCCCAGCGGTGTCATGTGTTATTGTGGTGGACTACTGCAGCACTAACCGCCGTTAAGTCCTGCCAGGTGTCTGTCAGGAATTGACAGGGAGTTCCGCAAAGCCCCGTCAGTCGTCTGACCTCGTAACGGCCCTGTGACCCGTGGTGCCCTGTGACCCTGGAGTGGGTGGTGCTCAAACAGTACCCCCACTGACCCCGTCCGGGGACGACATCAGTTACGATCAATCGATCGGTCGATCCGTGCGAGGATTCTGGTGATCGTGCCGCTCGCTGTGTTTGGGGACAGTGACGGTGACGGCTATGTCGTGTGCCCCACGCTGCCCCTGCCGCAGCGGCCCGCCCCGGACCAAGGCGCGGCCCGAACCTCGGTCTGAGAGACCTTACAACGCTTACGACTCTCAACATGAGTCTGGCTGCAACGCCGAGTATGACTTTCAACCCAAGCAAGGCTACGACAGCGGGTACGACTCACGGCCTGAGTCACGACTCAAGTCACGACTCGACTCACGACTCAACTCACGACACGACTCACGGACCGAGTCACGGCTCGACTCACGGACCGAGTCACGTCTCGAGTCTCGGCCGCCGACCGGGCTCCGTCCGCCCCGTTACCTCACACCGGGCTCCCCCGGACCTCGGTCAGCGCGATCGGCGAGCAGGATGCCTGGTGAGTTATCTGCTGTGAGCTGAACAAAAAGACTGACATGGTGTCCTATGTAGGCGCAGAGAGCACAAGAAAACAGTAAAAAAAAACTTATGTTGACCCATTTCTGGCTTTTCGGATGCCACAAAGCGTCAAATCAATGCTCAACCTAATCCGAATGTCAGGCTTTACGTTCTCTCGTTTCCATGTTTTCACGCCTTTTTCTTCTAGGCTTTTACCCTCGGTATTTTGGTTATCGGTTTGTTTCCGGTCCATGGCGATGGTAGGTCGGTGTATGGATCCACTGTCGCTGTATTTCGTCGTTAGAGGGATTTCTTTCTAAGCCGACCCAGTTTCGATCTACGAATAATGAAAAGGTAGAATGGGGCGGGCGCACAAAAGAAAAACACCCTGTAGTTTGCAGTGCACCATATGCCCCAGCCTTTTTTAGCACTCGAAAGTTGAGGGCGGAAGTGTAGCACTTTGCTATTATTGGCCAGTACACCGTTTCTCTACTGTCCGTTTGCCTGATGCTTACATTTCTTTGTGATACAATTGCACGGATTCAAGCGTTTAACATTTGTAAACAAGCAGCTCAATCTCACCATCCTACTAAGAAATTGTTGTGATTTGTTTTCTTTGGCTTGCTTGTATGACATGCGCGTTGGCCGTTGGTGCTCATAGCCATCCATACACACAAAGTTACATCCATTGCATTACAACAGTCGACATTGATTCGGCCTGGGCTCGCGCTGAGGGTGGGTGGTCCACTGTGCCCCAGGCCCCCAACGATTTGAGGCTGGCTGGTTAGTGGGTACCATCCGGCACGCTGCACGTTCTAGTCTGCACTCTGCACGTCGCGCGGCTAGGAGCTGCTGTTGGCCAACCGTGATTCGGAGAGCGGCAAAATGCTGCCTTCCTACGGGCTGGGGCGCCAGAACCTTTATCTCAGCGGTTCTGTTAGGGCCCAGACGGCTCGGCCAAGCCCTTCTGATCCCCTGTGATGGGCACTGCAACTGGTGCTGACGGGGAGATCAGCTGATGTTCACGGCCAGCTGGTGTGAGGTCGGTGCAGTCCGTGCAGTGCAGTCTGTCTGTGCAGTCTGTGCAGTCTGCGCACTGTATGGGCTACTCACTACTCAGCGCCTTTGTTCGCACTCTGGTCCAGTGGTCTGCAAAGGGCATTGGGTAGAGTGAAGTGCAGAGTGAACGCACTGTCCTGCAGACTCGCTGATAGAGGCCACTCACTGGTGAATCAGTGGTCAGAGCCCTCTTATGAATGTTGCAGCTGTGTTGTGAAAGATATGTCGTTAGTGTTACTCGTTACAACGACCCAAGGCGCTGCAGTCTATCGCTCGCTGGACTCGCTCGATGGCATATCACTGCCTAAGCCCGCAGGCCGCAGGCGGCAGCACACCGCACATTGTCACAGCGGCTGATAGATCACCGGCCTGCGGCTGTGTCGGTCTGAGACTGACTAGCCACGACCGGCGGCACACTCTGCTTGTTTGTGTTGGAGGCGGCTCCCAGTGCAGGCGAACAGCGATCAGCGGATACCCGCACTGGAATCCAGTTCACGGAGTCGAGCCCGGTTTTTACACGGTATTTTCATAGCGTTTTTCGAATGTGTCCGCACACTAGGGAGACGCCTTCATCGGACGCTCGTGGCTAGGTCGGTTGTAGGAGAGCGCTATGGGGCGGACATTAGTAGGTCCTCTGGGACTCATCATTAGGTGTTAATGTCTCCCGAATACAGTCTGTTCCGGCTGGCTCTGTCTGGTTTTGTCCATTGAGAACCGAGCTAGTTTTTGTGACGTGACACCGTTTCCGTATATTTACCGCCAGCTGCTTCTCTGATTGGCACAGCTTCTGTTTTCCTGACCTCACATCCGTTCCAGTTGTTCTTTTTTTTTCTTGTTTTGTCTGAGGGTGGTGATTTCGCTCTTGTGAAACGGTAGGTAGTCGAAACATATTTTCATTTCGTTTTTTTTTATAGCGAGATAATAATGCTGATTTTATCACAAGCTCGTCAGGTATCTTCTGTATCTTTCTTCCCCCAACTGATGCGCTGTATTCCGTTTGCCATCCCCAGTTGTCACCGCTCCTACCCTCGTATCTCCACCTCTGACCGCGGTTCGGCGCTCGGTCCACTGTTTATATAGCCACAGGGACTTAGCCGGTGGCACGGGGTCGTCTCGCTCTCGCCGGGCGGTGTGACTCCCCTCTCTCCCCCCGGGGCCACTCTCCCCGGGGGTGGTCTCAGCTAAGTGGCTCACCGGTAACAGCGGAAACAGAAACACTGTGTCTGCTGGGCGACTGCAGAGAGTGTTTGACACACATTTTGGGTTCGTCGGCTGCTTTTTCGGTTTAATGTGTTTCATTGAAGAAACTGTGGGCATGGCCTTTAGTACCCTTTTTGGATTTCTTTATCCTCTGGATACCACATGTGTCTGCGGCAGTGCTCATTGTCACATATGCTGTGGAGCGTCATGCTTCATTGGTGTAATGCTCCGGCACTTCGTTGGCTCCTTGTCCATCATTGCCCGTCCACAAGTATCTGGCGACTGACGCGCGCCTATCTCTGGGCGCGTCACGCGTCACGCCTGCTGTGACGTGACGGTCAGTCACCTGTCAGCTCTCCCCAGACCGTCATCTGACCGCACGCACAGCACTTACATACGCACGCTCCGTACGCGTAACGCGTGCCCCGTACGCACGACCGCTACCACCGCGGACACCGTCGCTGGCAGCGGCGCCGACACCGAAATAAAGTATCCTCGCCGCTCGCGGCGCGTCCGGCGCTCGCCGCAGTGCCGCGCCGCAGACGACTCGGCGAGCCGGCGGGCGGC